AAAAAAAAAAAAAAAAAGAATTTGTGTGAAGGAGGCTGGACTCTGAAACCTACGTTGCCTTATTTATCTGGGGAAACCTAAAGTTATAGATATGTATGAAGAGTTATATCATGTATAATGTATCTTCATGTCAGGTTTTCATGAAATTAAATGAGTCTACTAGACATTTTCTTTTCTGTTAGCAGTTAGCTACAGTAGTAATGAAGGGTCTACTATCTATAAAAAATTCCAAACAAAAATAATCCAAAACCAACTTATATTTAATGTTGATTATTTTAAATTATTTAATGTTAATTTAACTTAATGGATACATGAAAGTTGTACATATAGTGGGGCATTGTGTAATGTTCTGTGGATGTATACATTGTATAGTATTTAAATGAGCTTAAATATATCTGGCTCCTGAAACATTTGTCATTTTTTTTTTTCTTTTTTGAGACAGGGTCTCACTATACAGTTCAGGCTGGCCTTGAGCTCACTTTGTAGCCCAGGCTGGTTTTGTACTTGCAACAGTCGTCCTGCCTCAGCCCCGCTAGGGCTGGGATTACAGGCATGTGCCACCACACCTGGCTCATTTGTGATTTCTTTCTTTTTTCCTTTTTTTTTTTTTTTTTTTCCAGTACTGGGAACTGAACTCATGACCTTGTGCTTGCCAGACAGGCGCTGTGCCGCCGAGCTAAATCCCCAGCCCACATTTGTCATTTCTTTATGGTGAAAACTTTGAAATTACTTTCTTCTAGCTTTTTAATATGAACAGTACATTGCTTAAATCATATTAGAATAAAGACAGAGGCAGAGTTGACATTTTCTAGTTATTTACGCTCTTTATCTGTGGTTGGCAATATTTGGTGCAATTTATACTGGATATACCCTGTTAGTATTTAGGTAGATTAGAGCTGAGGGGAGGGCAAATTCTATATATTGCATATATTTAACCATTTTCTCCAACCCTCACGGAGAAAATCTAAGTGTGCTGCTTTCATTATAAGTAAAGCCGTGCTCGCGTCAGCAGCATGTATATTATTATAAGTAAAACCAAAACTGACATATGTCACAGCCAAGGACAAAGCCATAATATATATTTTAAAAAATGTACTGCTTTCACAATGCTTATGTTACATTTATTTATGGTTCCTTAAATTGTCCTAATAAAATTTATATTTCAAGGTTTTTCATGCCATTCAAGAGACATGCACTGAACTTCTGAAGATAGTCGAGAAATATCAGCTAAGAATCAATGGTATGACATCATGGACATCTGCAAATTCCCATTAAAATAAATGCTAATTTGCATGTTTGGAAATAAGTCATTTAGTGAAAAAATAGTAGTTTAACTATTTTTTAAAAAGTTTTAATGCAAAATACAAATATTTATAATGACTTGTTCTCAGAGTCTTGAGTATCCATCTTTTCTTTCTTTGGCTCATCAAATATTCTTATGTAGATATAGATTTATTTTGCTGATGTTCAGTTTTTTTGCCAGGTGTCTTTTTTTAATGGAAAAAAGATAAAACAAAATTTCGGAACAAGATGATACGAGAATAACAATAGTTGACACATTGCATATTATTATCTTGAAAGTAATTACTCAGAGTGCAAGATATGGGCATAAAAGATTCTCCAGTCAATATTGGCACAAACCTTTTCTATGAACTAAGAGACACTAATAGTAAACTAAATTGCATTTTTTTCTCCCTTTTCCCTTCCTTCCTTTCCCCTTTCCTCCATCCTAGTTCCTTTTTCCTTTTAAATAATTTCTTTCCATTTCACAACATCTGTTGTACATTTTATTTTACTTATTTATTTTTTGGGTACTGGGAATCAAACGCAGGACCTTGTGCTTGCCTGGCAGGCACTTGTGCCACTGAGCTATATTCCCTATCCCCTCTTGTACATTTTATATTGTATTTACTCTTTCACTTTCTCTTACCAGGGAGACAATATGATGTTTACACATGAGAATCTAATTTATTTCACTTAAGAGTATGGTCTCAAGTTGCATCCATTTACCTATGAAAGTCTCAAGGTTATCTTTCTTTATGGCTGAGTAGTACTCCATTGTACAAATATACCACATCTTCTTATCCATTCCTTGGTTGATGAGCACTTGGGTTGCTTCCAGGATTTAGTGATTACAAATTGTGCTGCTATAAACATGGGTGCACATGTATCAGTGTGGTATGATTTTTTTTCCTTTTTTTTTGAGACAGGGTCTGGCTATACAGTTCAGGCTGGCCTTAAACTCTGTAGCCCAGGCTGGTCTTGAACTTGCAACAATCCTGCTTCAGCCTCTGAAGTGCTGGAATTACAGGCTTGTGCACCACACCTGGCTATGGTATGATGTTTTTAATTTTTCTGGGAAGATACCCAGCAGTTACCCAGAAGTGGAATAGCTCGGTCAAATGGGACCTCTAATCCTAGTTTTCTGAGGAATTTTCATACTAATTTCCACAGTGGTTGCACCAATCTGCACTCCCACCAACAGTGGAAAAGGTTTCTTTTTCCCCACAGCCTTGCCAGCATTTGTTATTGGGTGATTTCTTGATAATAGCCATTTCTTCTGGTGTGACATGAAATGTCAATGTTGTTTGAATTTACATCTCTCAAATGACCAGTTGTAATGGCAGACAAGCTGAATTTCACAGAAGACCGAAGAACTCTATTTAGGGCAAACAGAGTTTATTGAATTTGAAGCTGGTCACCGTGTGCCTCCCAACTAACAAGTTAGGATGCATCGGCAGCAGCTTAGGCTTGGTCCAGTTCTTAAATATATTTTGGGTTTCTATGGTTACAAAGTGGGATTTTACATTTGCTGACTCTGTTGGCCATATGGTTTTCCTCTCATCCCATGGGACCCCTGGGTTACTTCTTGGTCACATGTCTAATCATGATAGATGTTTCCCCCATTATGTTCTGTTTGTTTCCCTTTTTACAACCTATACATTCCTTTAGGGTTACAGTGTTTAACTAGGGCCAGGGAAGGGATGAAACAACCCAGGCAGGGTCACAAATGGTTATCTAAGTCTGGGTGTTCCTTATCTCTGGGAGACATTCCCGGGCAAAGTTGACTGCAGAGTTAGTTTTTACAGTTTCCCCAGGAAGTTTCCCAGGACATATTTTAGACCTTCACTAAAACTGTTTTATCTAAAATGATATGCTAAGCTTCACTGTCCCTTACACAATGATGTTGAACATTTTTTCATATATTTACTGGCCATTTGTATTTCTTCATCTGAGAAGTATGTTTTCACTTCAGATGCTCATTTTTGATTGGGTCTTTGAATTTGGAGGGTCTGATTTTTTAAAATTCTTTATATGTTCCAGGTAGAACTCCTTTGAGGGACAATTGCCTAAAATTTTTCACACTCTGTGGGTTGTGTTTTCACTGTTAGTGACTTCTCTTGCTGTGCAAAACTTTTTAATAAGACAAGATTCAAGTTGTTGATTCTTTTCCTATGAAGTTTGGGTTTTGTTTATGAGCTCTCTGCCTTCACCTATGTCTTCAGCATTTCTACCTCCTTTCTTTTCTAGTAGACTGAGTGTCTCTGTTTTAATATATAGATCTTTGATCCTTTTTGACTTTAGGTTAGTGCATGGTGATAGATGTGGGTCTAGTTTTAGTCTTCACCATGTAGCAAGCCTATTTTTCCAGCACCATTTATTAAAGAGGTTATCTTCCAGTGAACATGTTTGGCTCCTTTGTCAAAGATAAGGTGGCTGAGTGTGTTTGTAGTTGTGTCTACATCTTCTCTTCTGTTCCACTGGTCCTCAGGTCTGGGTTTTTTATTTTTTTGACAGTATCATGCTGATTTTATTTGTAGTATAATTTCAAGTCAGGGATTGTGATGCCTCCTACCATGCTTTTTTTCCCAGGATTACTTTTGCTATTCTAGGACTCTTCTGGTTCCAGACGAATTTGAGGAACATTTTCTCTAGTTTTGTGAGGTATGCTAATGGTATTTTGATTGGGATTGCATTAAATCTCTATAATAATTTTGAGAGTATGGCCATTTTCACTGTGTTGGTTCTTCCTACCCACGAGCAAGGGATATCTTTCCATTTTCTAATATCCTCTTTGATCTCTGTTTTCCAAGTACTGTAATTTTCAATGTATAGATTTTTTACTTCCTTTGTTAGATTGATTCCTCAGTGTTTCACTTTTTTGGATGATGTTATAGAAGGTATGATTTCCCCAGTTTGTCTTCTCAATTTGTTGTTTGTGTACAACAATTCAATTTTTTTTGTTTTTTTTTTGGGGGGGGGGAGAGAGAGGGTTTTGCTATGCAGTTCAGGCTGGACTTGAACTCACTTTGTAGCCCAGACTGGTCTCGAAGTAGCAGTGATCCTCCTACCTTAGCCTCCCGAGTACTGAAATTACAGGTCTGTACCACCACACTCAGCTTTGCTATTGATTTTTGAATGTTGACTGTATCCAGCTATGCTACTGAATTTGCTTATTAATTTTTTTTTTGTCTTTTTTTGAGACAGGGTCTCGCTACGCAGATCAGGCTGACCTTGAGCTCACTTTGTAGCCCAGGCTGGCCTTGAACTCGCAACGATCCTCCTGCCTCAGCCTCCCGAGTACTGGGATTACAGGCGTGCACCACCACGCCTGGCTGCTTATTAATTTTAAGAGTCTTTTAGTGCAGTTTCTGAGGTCTTCTATGTAGAGTATCATGTCATCTGCAAATAATAATAATTTAATGTCTGCTTTTCCTGTCCTTATTCCTTTTATTTCGCTCTCTTGTCTAATTGCTGTGGCTAATGTTTCCAGAACTATGTTGAATAGGAGTGGTGATTGTGGACATCCTTGTCTTGTACCTGATTTTAGAGAGAAAACTTTCAGTTCTTGTCCACTTAATATGATGTTGGCTATGATGTTGGTTTGTCATAGATGGCTTTTATCAGATTGAAATAAAGACCATCTATTCCAATTTTCTATAGGTTTTTTTTTTTTTATCATGAATGAGTGTTGGACACTATGAAAAGCTTTTTCTGCATCTATTGAGATGATCATGTGATTTTTTTTTGTTCTTTTTGAGACAGGGTCTCACTATGCAGTTCAGGTTGGCCTTGAGCTCACCTTGTAGCTGAGGTTGGCCTCAAACTTGCAACAATCCTCCTGCCTCAGCCTCCCAGGTGCTGGGATTGCAGGCATGTGTCACCATGTCCAGTGACCATGTGATTTTTATCCTTGGTTCTGTTGACATGGTATATTACATTTACTGATTTGCTTATGTTGAACCATCCCTGCATTCCTGAGAAGACTCCTGCTTGGTCATCATATGTAGTCTTCTTGATGATTTGCTGCATTCTGTTTGCAAGTATCTTATTGAGGATTTTTGCATCTATGTTCATTAGGGAGACTGGCCTGTAGTTCCTCATTTTAGATGGGTGTTTCTCTGGTTTTAATATCAGGGTAATACTTGCCTCCAGGAATGCATTAGGGAGTGTTTCTTCTCTTTCAATTTCATTAAAGAGTTTAAGAAGTATTGGCATTAAGTCTTCACTAAATTTCTTGTGGAGTTCAGCAGTGAATCCATCAGGACCTGGGCTTTTCTTTGTTGGTAAGTTTTTCATTACATTTTCAATTTCATTAACTGATATGAGGTTATTCAGAATTTTTTTTCTTTTTTTTGGTACCAGGAATCAAACTCAGGACCTTGCCCTTGCCAGGCAGGCACTTATGCTGCTGAGCTACATCCCCGGCCCCAGAATTTTTATATCTTCTTGATTTAGCTTTGGTAATTCATATGTGTTTTAGAAATATGTTCATTTCTTCTCTGTTTTTCAGCCTGAGAGTAAAGATTTTTGAAGTAGTTATTGATGATCTTCTGAATTTTCCAAGGAGTAATAATGACTTCACCCTTTTCATTCCTCAATGCATGAATTTGAGTCTTTTCTTTCCTTTTTTTGATAAGGTTGGCTAAGGGTTTGTCAGTTTTATTTATTCTTCCAAAGAACTAATTCTTTGATTCATTAATTCTTAGCATGATTTTCTTAGTCTCAGTTGTGTTAATTTCTGCTCAGATCTTTATGTCTTGCCTTGTATGGGCTTTGGGCCTGACTTTTCTTTTTCTGGAAGCTTGAGGTGCAACGTTAGGTTATTTGTGCTCATTTTGTTTTCTGATGTGAGAATTTACCCTATAAATTTCCCTCTTTGGACTGCCTTTACTGTATCCCACAGGTTCCTGTATGTTGTATCTTCATTTTTATTTAATTATAGATATTAATTTCATC